CTGCAACTGCACTACGTTACTGATAACAAGTTTCAGGGCCTTCAGTTAACGAGCTATGATTTGTTCCTCTGGATCGACCAACTCACACTTCATCTGTAACTGGTGGAACTACGCCATGAACTCCTGCACTTATAGATTTATTTGTTGTAGGTGGTAGAGTCAGAAATAAATTATGTAGTTTTTTTTCTTCATCGCCTTCATATTCTCCCGCCAGTTAATTTTTTCATTGCCCTCGCTCTTCCTCTGCTTATATAAATTTTTCCTACCACAAGGAGATGCTCTTTCTCAATCTGATGGTCCTTAGTTTTACCCTTTTATCTTCTGACACATTTGTACTCAAATATTCTCTTAACTGACTACAGTCATTTTATGAAATCATCGAATCTATACCTCCATCGAACTCTAGCAAATTCACCTATATTTGTCTTTTCTCTCAGCATCCTCAGAGATCAGATTCCAATGCATCGTGGCCTATTTTCCTCACCATTGAAATCCTCTCTATAAAAGGGGTTGAAATTCTCGTCCCTTCGATTTTCTCTGTCATGATCGTGGGCAATTTTCTTCTGAATTTCATCCTCAATGTCTGTAAGCCTCCGTCAAAGTCGACAGATCTTTCACTGTATCTCCCCCTATAGGCTCAGACATGAGACATGTATCTCTTTGGTGGCATGGTTAAGGTTTAGAGTTGGGAGGTGAAAAAGGGTGTATGACACTAATTGAAGTTGTAAAAAAATTAATTTGGAGTTGTTGATTTTGAAAATCAGCAAGGTGAAGTTAAGGTTAGATCAAATTTGTCTATGGTTTGAGAATAGAAAAGAAATTTTTTGGTGGAAGGGGTAAGACAGATGTTAGGAAAGCTTAAGATATGACTAGTGTTTAGTTAACTCTGATACTAAATAAAGCCAGAATTAACCCAAAATTCGATAAATAATAGTTTCTTCTCAAAAATAGAGGTTATCCGGCTAGGTCGAGATGGGACAACCCGTTGACAGCGGTGAGAGGGGTTGTGATAGGTGGCTGTCAGTTAAAGGGGTGAAGGGTTGAGGGGGTGATGCCGACAACAGCTGGAGGTGTAGGCAGATCTTGTGGGGGCAGCTACTGAAATGGGAGGGGCTGGTGATGACTCGTGAGGGTCGGGCCGGTCGGGATGGAGTCACGACAATTGGAGAAAGTGAGGGAGGACATCTGCGGTGATAACAGGGAAGAAAAGGTGTTTGGGGGCAGGGAAACTAGGTGGATGGGAGTGTGGGGAAGATGGGAGCAAGCAGAAGAGGAAAGATTCACCCCGTCGATTCACACTGTCTCTAAATGAGTTACAGCCGCATCGCCTTCTTGTCGTCGGATATAGGCCTAAAAGTGAAAAGGGGGGCGTTGAAGGCTGGCCTAACAAAAATCTCAACAAAAACTAAACCTTAACGCAGAAAGTAGCATATTTATAATAAAGAATAACTAGGTGTGGGGGGGGAACCCCTCTCCTTGGGCAACAACCCCAAGCCTAAGCAAGGTCGGGTTTAATTCAGCCTCCCCGTTGAACTGGTTTGGCCGGTGCATGCCCCTAGCTCAAGCATATGCTTTACCTCTCCATGAGAGGAGATGATCTAGATGAACTTAATTTGGCTCATTCAATGTCATGCATTAAATAAATAAACCCCATTTAAATAGACTACATATGCTAATTGATAAATTTACTTCTCACCATATTAATTCACTAGTCAAAACATTTATATGATTCATTGTCCTAATTTCCTAATTAATTAAGCTTATTTGATTAAATCATCATTTCTTAGTTAAGTGGCTTGTTTAATTTATTGATTAATTAATGTATGACTGAGAACATTTTTTAATTAGCCTAATCATTAATTAATGGCTAGTTAGTACTATAATTTTAGATTAGCCTATTTAATTAAGCTAATAACTCTTAATTTTTAGTTAACTAGCTCAGTTTCTATATACTAAGTAATGAATGATTGTTTGGAATAATTTCTTTTGTGCCATTATTTAATCCTTAATTTATCATTTGGACAATCAACTATAATTAATTAATTTCATGAGGAAATACTGATGTAAGCTCTTTAATATTTTTATACTTTTCGGATGCAAATAATTGAGCTTATGTAACTCAGTATTTTAGGCTATGTTTGGCGCAACTGCAGCTTCTCAACTTTTTAGCTACAACTGCGCTGCTTCAAGAAGTTGTTTGTCTGTTTGGTGCGGCTGTGTGGAAATAGTTTTGGGGCAGTTGTTTCTGGAAAAATGATCATGTTGCCCCTATTTGATAAAACTTTTTAAAACAGAACTGTTATAGCGATATTTTTGATACTTTTGAAGCATAATTTCACTTCAAAACAATTCAAAAAATGTAGATGCCCAACTAGCTTAATAATGGGTACCAAAAGTGATAAAAAAAGGAAAAATAAAACACAATTCATGAATTTGCATCTTATGATAAGTAATTTATTACACATCCCGGTAAAAATATATGGTTATGTAATGCATACAAAAATTAATACATGAAAATCCATCTATATTTTACATAAAGAAAGAAGCACAATTGAAAAGCAATACCTCTTTAAAAGAAAACATAATAATTGCCCATTCTATATCCCTTGTGATAAGTAAATTTGATCTTGCAAGAAGACTTTTTAACTCAAATTATATCAAAGGAAGGTTTTTTTTAACTCAAATTATGATATGATTGAATGAGAAAAATAGATAAAATTGACTTATCATCTCACTCCGCATACCCTCTTATAAATAAAACAAAACGCCAATGTATTACCCATTATTGACCAATTTATGATCCATCTCCTCAACCTTCCTCAACCATTATTGACAAAAAAAAAAGAATCATCAGAATGAATCCTCAACCTTCTCAACAATGCTGTAAATAAGTAAAGTATTAAGCTCGGATTCTTTAGCCGCCTCATTCAATCTCCAGTGCTTTAATCTACAAAGAGACGAAGCAACAATTACTTAACATAGATTGTAAACAAATATGAACATTTAAGGCCTGTAATATGATAACCTAATGTATAAACTTTCATATTACATCATTTATATTCCAAATAAAAGGTTTCATGTGACAAAAAATTACAAAGGTTGAAGACCCTAAGTATAAGGCTGTATTGAGCTGACTCCCATTAGACTTCGAGAAGTTTAAATACTTGACAAACAGCAAGTAATTGTTCCTTCACTTGTTTTCTACAGTGAGAGTTGTGTCAATGAAGTTGTTTCTGTATGAAATTGAAAGATCTCTCATAACAAAGAAAACCCATGAACCAAAACTCAAAGTCATCTTCTGTGATGATTTGGATGTACTTTTGGCTTGGCTTGTTTATATTCTCACTTTGGCAAGCTCTTTTCGTTCTACTCAAAGGGATTATGACCTGTACATTACCAATATTTCAATCAAAAAGGATTTCACTGAAAGAGAAAAAAATTTCCTTCCATCAATTTAATGATGATAAAGCGCTTAAATTTATGACATTTAACAACCTTGCAAGGAACTCTGGCAGGAATAGGACCGGCTGTGCTTGACCAATAGCATTGGAACATCTTCTCTCCTTCTTTTACAGAGGAATTTTGTCTGAAAATTCTTCCAATTCCTCCAAGTTGAATAACCCTAATGTCCAAGCTCAACTTCCCCTTCAGTTTGAGAGACAGTGGATCCCAAACTCACTGTGTTCAATTAAACAGTAAAAATTAGTTGCCTTTATAAATGGAGTGAACAGAAACTCGGAAATGTGTGAACTTTGCAGCTATTTTTGTATGAAAAACTTATAAAGCGTAGAAACTCATGGTGGGAAGCGGAAATACCATGGTCACATATTCCTTTAGCATAACTATTTGCGTTGCTCTTAAACTTGTTCATCCAATGAAAAAGTGGATGCTTTCTACCTGTGAATGAAGAATAATTAACATTAAGAAAACTATAAAAGATTATAACATAGATTAGGGGGAAAAAATAGATTTTAGTCTCCTACTCTTTTGAAATTGAGAAGAACCATAAGAAGCGGGCATGAGAGATAGACGCTCGGCAGCTTCACCTTTCAAGTCCCCAGTTGCGTATATCACAGAGCTTACTGGAATTCCAATGGCCTGATCAGCGCTTTGATTCTTCATTCTGAGATGAATCACGCAGCCTCCTCGACTTCACTCTAGAAAATTCTTAGAGAGGAGTTTTTTGTTCGGTCGCCTTCTACGCTGGAGGAATCGCTGCGTGTCTCCGCTTAGATGGAGAGGGAGAGGGAGAGGGAGAGCTCGTAGCCTGGGAAAGCGGGGTACCAATGGAAAAAACTGAAGGAGAAAGCGGGGCCATGAGGTCGAACCCACAGCCCGCTTTTTACCTAAAACACGCCGCGTCGCGCCTCCCCCGCCGCTCCTAACAATGAAGAATAGCGGCGCCGCGCCGCGCCGCTGCCCTACTGCAGCTCCAAACACAGCCTTAGTCTTTTAAATAACAGCGTCCATCTGCTTTGGGTCAAGCTCCTAAAATTGTCGCTTAACCTATCCTTGGTTTGCCTTTCTAAATGGGCAACCAAGCAGGACCATAGATGCATGCAGAGGGTGTCTTCCTTTGCATTCAAATTAACCACTTTACATGCTTTGGGATTATTTGATTTCATCAGTAAACAAATTTATACTCACGTAAGTAGGTGAAAATTCCTACTTGAAATTTTATCATTGGCTTCATATCATTTCTCTTATGTATTTGTTATTTGAATCAAGGGTCATTTACATACATACCACCCATTTCCTATGTATTTAAATATCTAACACCTAGACTCTACTTTTTACATTTATACGACCCAAATCTTTCATATCACGTAAATAATAGGTAGGATTATTTCAACTTTTAAAAAGTTAAATGCTTAGGTAAGGTGGCATTAATGTAAAAATTGAATTTTAGGCATTAGATTTGTAATTACATTGTAATTAAGTAGTATGAATGTAAATATTCCTTTAATCACTTGATTTATTTGCATTCTAATGACTTTTAGGCGTTGGGTGATCAAGAAGATAGCTGAGAAGTTTCATGACCTATATGACATCATAGGTAAAGAATCAGAGTTTGTGAAGAGAATAGCTGAGGTAATGTGTTTTAGTTGGTTGTTTTGCTTCATTTGATCATTTATGTGGCTTTTGGTTTCAATTATGACATCTTTGTACTTTTATCTGTGGCATTTTTGTTGTTTTGATTGTGGTAAATGTTATCTAGTGGAAAATGGCCGAAAATAATGGTTTTGTCTGGGGCCTTTTCTTCATTAGTAATCATTACTAGTGTATTCGGTTATTGACATCACTTTGTAGCGCTACTTTGAATAATTATGTGGGAAAAAGAGCAGTTAAATATTTAGTAAACAAAAAATTGACTACTTACGGCATAATCAATCAAATTAATGCATCAAATAAGTAAATTCATGAAGATATTGGTTATGAATTGTATTTGTGAGAATGTGCATCTAAATGTAAAATAAACCTTCTAATAAATTTTATTTGATTTCACTTCGTGTGGAACAATTTTTTTTAGTTCATTCTAATGAATTATTATTTCAAATACTGTTGTTACCTAGCTGTTCTGTGTTTAAAACTTTGGATTTTAGAGGAAGCTATTTATGTTCTTGAACTAGCACATCTGTGGGTGATCAAGTTTCAGTGTTATCATCCGATGTTATAACTTTTTTTTTCTTTTCACTTTTCCCCAGAAATCAAAGATGAATTATCGTGCATGGAATCACCGTTGCTGGCTTATACTTTACATGAACAAATGGCAGGTTAGCAAGGAAGGTTAATGTGCCATGCTAGTAGTATCTGGCCTTGGTTAGGGCATAGTTTTCTATTTTCAGTAAAATATTCAAGTTGTTTATTCCTCTAACATTTTGTTAAATGGTATTATTGAAAAAATTCTCATACTCGTGTTGTAAATAAATATTTGGCTTCTGCATTTGTGCATGCTTGCTATACGGTCTTATATCTTATCTTATTTTTCAAATGAGCACTGCTGCATATACCAAATGGAATCTCAAACCTTCCCAAATTGTAGATATTCTTTTTTTTCAAGGACTATTTTTCATTTCATTTGTGTGATGCCATGTGGCTTTTAGAAGGTTTCTTTTTCTTGTGAAGCTCACTTTCTTTTTTAAAATTTAACTATGATCCAACGGCTTAGTGATTCTTAGGTGTTTATTATTCGTTGTCTTGATTTTTGTTTTGTTGCACTTATTTTAAAGTTCTTTTAGTGGTAAATTATTATTCTTTTTTAAATGATTGTAGATGTTTAATGAGCTGGATAAATCAAGAACATGGGCTGAGCTGCATGTTGCTGACAATTGTTGCTACCACTATCGAAGGGTGGGTTCTTCCTCTGAGCTATACAACTCTAGGCCTTCTGTATTATTTCATTTTGATGCCCAGATATATTGGAGGTAGCTGATGATTTTGGCTTTTTTTAGGTTGCTTACTTTTTCTATTTTTGTTATTAAAATTTACTTTTTGACAACTGTTTTAAATATATTTTTTCCAAAGCTTTTCTAAGTCAAATTTTTGGAACTGTGAAAAACTGTTATTCAAATATGCACTTCTTTTAGTTGGCTGTTTTTTCAAACACAAAAACAGTCAAAAAGCTTTCTCAAACGAAGCTTTAGGCTCTTCTTGCTGAACTTTTACCAAATTCCTATTGGAATTTTGTATAGATATTTTGCTGCTTATCAGGTTGTTTCTCTAAAATGCTATGCAGCCAGTGTTTCTTTTTGTTTTCAATATGACTTTATAAAACTAAGCTCCTAAGTATTCTAATGTTTACTGGATGAGCCGACATGTAAACTGATTTTTTTGTCGTGTTTTTTTTCCATGTATAAGTTTGTCATTTTTTGTTCTAAACTATCCCGAATGAACAATTGCAGAATATAGCTATCATGCTTATATTTTGTATACTGCAGAGGTTGATACTTAATTTGCTGGGAGACAATTCACTGAAATATGACGAGGAAAACCCCTCATTTTACAAATGTCATCCGGTCGATTTGCTACAGGTACTGTTTTCTTGCTGTCATAATTATATGTCCATGGATGTTTGCTACGTTGTCCTCTTTTCCCTGGATAGCATGTTTAAAGCACATGTTGATGCGCTCTTCATTGGTCACCTTTTTAATGGATTTTTTGGTCAATAAAGTTGGTGGTCCTTCATTGCTCGAGACAAACCCAAGTTGAGCGGAAAATAATGGATTTTGAGTTGATTTCAAGCTGATTTATGTTTAATAATTTTTGTTACTGCTTAAGATTATTATCTATATATAGGTATTGAATATTTATATAAAAATTTTATTATTATATTTTATTAAAAATTTAGTCTAAATGAGAAGTAATATCAAAGCTTTTAAAGGGTTGCTATTCAAAATCGGAATTAATTATTAATATTCTCATGACTCTTTGATTGCGTCATACATGCATGATTTATTTGTAATATATTTATAAAAAATATTTACGATTAAAATTCGATGCTACTATTATGAGGTTAATTTTTTAAAAAAATTAATAGGTTGTGTGTATAGTCATAAGCTAAATCAAACTAGTTTCACTCTGAACCATCTTTGAGTTGGAACAAATTTTTTTTGATTTTGCATTGATAAAACTTTGAGTATTTGCTGAATGAGTTTTGAGTTTCAAACATAATTATCCACTGTATGTTGTTCCAACTTTTTTTTGCCGTATTCACGAATGTTTTTCCTCCATTGGTTATTTGTTATCCATACATGTGAAAATTTACAAAAAGAAAAAAAAAAGAATCATGTCCAATCCCTAATTAATTTGTAGGACTTTTGCGATGTCTTTCTTAAAATCCCGATCGACATTTTTTTTTTGTTTTCTAAAGAGAACATAATCACAAAGTTCTATTTGTGATGGTTCTATTTTAACTCATGTAGTTGGAAAAACATTCTAATTTATGCGAGAAAAACTTTTCTGTTCTTTGCTTGCGTCCATTGCTTCCTTTCGACTTATGATGAAACTTCTTACTACGATGTTTTTCTAGGCATTTTCACATGCTCATATTGCATCACCATGTGTAATCTTTGTTTGGTTGTAACCACAGGTTGCAGTTTTTATTTGATTTTTTTTTTTTTTTTTGGCGGTCATGCGGGTCCGGGTGTGTTTATTGGTTGAGTGTGGTGGAAATTAGCCATGTGATATTGCGTGGGAATGTTTGACCCTTCCATGGGATCTATGAAGGAATTCTGAACTGGAATTTGGCTGGCTCCGTTTGCACGTAACTATGGAGATTATAAAATTTTTTTCTTAATGAAATGACCTTACTTTTAAAGTGCCAAAATAGTCCTTTGACTATTAGATTAGGCCATTTTAGTCCTACAATTTATGAAAATGTTAAATTAGTCCCCAGTTTATTTCAAAGAGGGCTAAAATAGTCCTCATGGGGGACTATTTCTACCCATATTAAAACACTTTGTGGACTAAATCGACACTTTTGTAAACTTAGGGACTAGAATGACTCACTGTAAAGAGTGAGGGGACCATTTTGAAGTTCTCCTTCATATTATTTATACCTCTTTTAAATATTCCATTAAGCTCAGAATGGTATATTTTGATTATGTATCAGTTGTAGTTGTCGTTATCAGGAGTTTCTTAATGGTTTGCATCATGATTGCTATCGTTCTATTTCACAGGAGGAGCTCAAGTGGAATGAGCATCTTATCAAACAATATGTGGGCAGAGAGGTTTGCTTCTTTAAATGGGATTGAAAAGTATATTTTCACATGTTGTATATGCTAGGTTAAAATGACTCTTACATTTCTCCAATGTGGGGTTCCGCCCAATTCCTATGTATTAACATATCAACCATCTAAACGTCAATTTTTATGTACCAACCACCCGATTCCTATGTTTTTGGCATGGGTTGTGTGGTATGCACATAAAAATTGAAATTTAGTTGGTTGATATGTTGAAACATAGGAAGTTATTGGTACATATGTATATCTCCATTGTCCAATTTAATCCTGGGCAAGGAAAACTCAATTCTTGTGAACTTTTTATTTCATAATCATAACCAGAACTTCCACTTGAACTTTGAAAATTTTTATTTGGCACAACTTTGTTATTGATATTTTTTGCCCTACATTGATTGATAAAATTAAATTTATTTTACGTTTGTTTTACCATTTTTAAAAAATTTTTAATATACATATTGTTTCCCCGTGAATTTGATTTAAGAAAATCGTTTGATCCTTTGCTGTGCACTGCTTGGCTGACTAGTGGCTGAGTCCGATATGAATGTGAATGGTTTGTTTGCTTGACTAATTAAGATCATATTGGGATATGTAGAATCCTTAAGATTGACCTCATGAACTAATTTGGGTGATGAGAATTAGAGGAGATGTAGTTCTGCACCGTGGGCGGCTGATTAACACTCATTAGAATATTGATTTGCAAGGTCTTTTGCATGTTTTCAAGGGTGCTAGCTTTATGGCCAGGCTTTCGGGGGACATTGTCAGGCTTTACAACACTTTATATCAGCATTGATTTCTTTAACGTTTTATTGCTAAACTCAAAGTCATTAAGGGCATCTTTGCCATCATACCATATGTTTCTTATGTATTTGTATATTTAACACCCAAATTTTGATATTTACATTTATGAAACATTGGTATCATAAACCTATGCGTAAAAAGATGTATTTTACTTTTGAAAAGGTCATGAAGGTGGTGTTTTTAATGTGATGTTAAAGATTTGAGTTTTATGCAGGAAAAAATTGAATGTTTAGGTGTTAAGATATGTGAATAGATAAGAATTGTGCGGTATGTAAATGCCCCTTTTATTTAAAAAAAAAACAAATCAGTTTGTTTTTTAAAGCACTTAAAAGTTAAAACATCTAGAAGACGGTTTGAGTGTTTTTGAAAATAATCA